ACTGATTTAATCACGATTAAAATCGTGATTATTTACGTAGTGTAACCGTGGTGTAAGTTATTCAAAGTCAAACTCAGGCGTACCCAAGTGACAAATATACATATTTTAGAGGGTTACCATATAATTTCATATGGCTACTGCTAAACTTCGTTGTCGAAAATTTCAACAACTATTAAGAGGACTGAAAAACGATTAATGCCCAATTGTAGAGCACGTTTGACACTACAAATCTGCTGATCTGAATTTGTTTGGGAATATAGCCATTTTCTTTTTTAGTCATCAAAAGTTTATCATTTTTCATGCACTGATACTAATACAAGCTCTACCACCAAGCAACCGTTTATATTCAAAAGTTGGTTTATATACCCATCGATAGCTTATAAAGAGAGGAATTGATTACATATATTGCTGTTACTTAAAAGTGGATAGTGTAAGGAAAAAAACTTTACCATTTTACCATCATGTTCGGTAAAAGGGCATATTTTGTTAATTATCCCAAAAATAGAATATAGGCTCTGAGAATTTTTCTGATTAAGCAGTTATAAAGAGCATGACTTGAAGTACACGGATATACGCTTAGATACTATCTATGTCGCTTATTGGTAGAGAACAATGACTTTCAAGTTTTTGGAGGTATGTGCCATCTCTACCGCCCAAGGGTATAACTTTTTCGGAAAAGCAAATATATTTCAATAGTCACGAAGGATAGTTGAATAAACGCTGAAAGTTTCATCGAGTTTGAACAACACTTTACATATAGTGGGAGGTTTCGCATGGAATCACCCATTATTGAAAAAATGACTTTATGACTATTGTTTAGAAAAGTATAACTGGTTTCAAAAATGAAAAAATTAAACCCACAGTCAAACTTTTCTATGCCTTTAAAAACTAGATCAGGCCCTGTCGTGCTTTCAGAGCCCCATTTTGACTAACGTTTGGACAATATCTTCTAAAACGGTTATAGATGAAGCCACAAAAACTTTATCGTAACTCTACCTTGATAAAATCGAAATTCAGATTAGTCTTCTGCCGCCAGTTTTCAGCCTTAATCTGCTCACATGATGAAGTCCAAAACAGACTTGTTTTACCTGTGGCTGGTCAAAATAATTGTCATTCCGGCATTTCTTGCAGCCCGAATTACTTCCCAAACTTTACGTTTAGAAACCACATCAAGACCAGTCGTGGGCTCATCCTTTTGGTTTTTTACAAAAGATAAAATATTACATGCACTGTCAATGGGAAAGCGAATGAAGTTTTGAACTTACTAAAAACACGATCTCTGGATTAGCCATAAATGCCAGTGCCGTGCTCACCTTCCGACCATTTCCACCACTATATATGAGAATAAAATAGATACAACACATGTTTTACAGTCTTAAGTAGGCATGCAATGGTTATTTTATCCGGACTCCTGCGGGTTAGTAATTTTAAAAATCGGAGAAAGATTTTTTCAAATTTTTTTCGAGCTGACAGTTTTGTGCATAAATGTTTGCTCTACAAAATAAGATATTGCAGACTTTCTCACGATGGTTCATCGATGGGATATGAATTTTTTTCTCTAAAGTAGGACCGGTTAGTAACCGTTTTCAGGTAAAAAACTTTGTATCTCATAAACGAACCGTCGTGCAATGTCTTATTTTATAGAGCTACATTTGTGCATAAAACTGTCGACTCAAAAAAATTTTAAAAAGTTTCTCCAATTTTTAAAACTACTGCCCTCAAAAGCCCCGATAAAATAACCGTTGCATGTCTAGTCTTAAGTATTGATTCAAGGTATGAAAAATAGCCTTTACCTTAATTTTTGAATTCGACGTGTTATGTAACTATCCAGTCCAAATAGTTGTATTGTATTCGTACAAATGTCCGGTATGTTCTTTTCTTTTAGGCCATGTAAGCGAGCAAATAATGTTAGAGTTTCATTCACTGTAAGATAATAGATCAGCCAATCGAATTGGGGACAATAACCAATTTGAACATAACTTTTCTAAATACAATTACTTTCTACGATAAAGATTATCTTCAACAATGTTTATTCAAAAATTACCGTTGTCACTATATTTTTTCCTCGAATAAAAATATCACCTGATGTTGGTAACAATTCACCAATTAACATTCGGAATGTAGTAGTTTTACCTTAATAAAAACAAAATATTATCGATGAGTTTACTATATTATCAGATTAAAACTTACCAGCACCATTGATACCTTAAGAAAAACAGAAATACATTTAACTAATGAGTAATTATTAAATAATAAATGATACTGATTCAGTCACTCTGCGCCCTTATGACAGTATGATGCACCTAAGAAGACCTTGGCTCCGTTTACGTTTCCTTTTCGGAGAGCTGCTGTAGTGTTTGCATCCATTTAAAAGTCGCTTTACATTTCGCTAATAAAGATTGCAACTATTCGCTCAGCTTCTGCGTTCAGAACAAGTCACGGATGTCACACATACAGATTGGAATTCCTTTTCACATGCGACTTCCACTACGTGTAAAAAAAATATGAGGAGAAAAAGTTTCGTGAACATTTCGCGTGCACTCACAGGTGAAAATTGTTTTCACACATGTTCGCCCACCATTTCACAATATTCATGGGTGTGGTGTACTCTCTAAAAAACAGAACCAAAAAAGGGTATTTCCATGCTGGGATACTCTTTTTGAAATCTTTGAGTAACAAATGCAGATACCCTCTTTTTTCTGGTTCTGTGGAATTAGGCATACCCTTACCCGTATTTTACAATGCGATCTTAGTATTTAGGGTGCACTTTTTAGTTTTGTAAGATTTCTTTGAGAGTATTCATCATCCCCAGAACCAAAAAAAAGAGGGTATCTGCATTTGTTACTCAAAGATTCCAAAAAGTGTATCCTGGCATGGAAATATCCTTTTTTGGTTCTGTACGATACAAAATTTTTTTAGAGAGTACACACCGTGAATGCTAATAAAAATTTTCGCATGTGAAACGCAATTCCGGAAACGAAATTGTCAGATGATAATTCCATTTAACTATCAGCTCAGAGCATGTGAAATGCACATTGTGACTCTCTGCAGCGAAAGTAACCAAAGTCTCTATTGAGATAAAGACATTTTTGATTTGATACATGCGTGTGCTTCCAGTCGATAAATTTGTGTTGTAAAGACCTTGCAGGTTTACAACACTAAGTCAAAAAAAATGTTGTCATCAAAATGAGACGTTGTGCATGGCACAATGGCAGCTTTTCGTAAATATAGGATCAATTTATTGGACTTCGAAAAACGCCTTAACTATTTAAAATTGATATCTTTATTAATTGTCGTACACAGTATTTCAACCAATTCTTCTCTGGGGTAACGAGGGAACCTTCTCAGGCGTAACCCTCCTTTTTCAATGTAACCCACATGGATCGATTGCTTACCTAGTGGTAGTAATAGAAAGTCCTAAATTACTTTCTTCTTATTTCTGTAGTTTTGAGTTGACAATGAATATTTAGGACTCTTCTTGCAAATTCTATAATTTTGCAAAGAAAGGCCATGTAGAGCTGGGAGATGTCTCATTTTGATCAGAAATATTCGAGCTACAATCATGCCTCATTAAGAAAGGTTTTGGTTATTCTTTTAGAGTTTCTGAAAAACTGATTTTCCAGAAAAACGACTTGAATTTTCGAAGGAAGAGCTTTCTGAATAAAGCCTCTTCGGCTACTACTAGATAGGCAATCGATCCATGTGGGTTGCATTGGAATAGGAGGGTTACATCTGAGAAGGTTTCCTCGTAAGTCGTAGAGCAGTAACTTTTTTTTGTTCGAAGTAGACAAGAGAACTACGATGCATGTTGGAGTAGATTTTCGATTTAGTCTTTAACTTTTCAAAACTTTCTGAAAATTCTTTTGAGGACTTCTACAGTACTCAACCTTTACAATAATAAAAAATTAAAAGACTGCTTAAGCAAAAATCTGAAATATATTTACCTAACAATCCAAAACATGACGGATGTGTAACAGCAAAATTCAAATGATCAACAGCTGTTTGAAGCGTTTTGCCTTTTTTAAATTGTTGAATAAGATCTTTGACAATTAGAACATTCTGACTATTCTCGCTCGTTGCCAAAGTCTTGTTTCGTTCCTCATACACATCGTCTGGAAGATTCTGAAATTAGAGAATTTTTTTTTAAATAAGTCTAAGATAAACGATTAGAAATATCTACTTTATCATCAAAACGATCTGTTAAAGCGGAACGTTTTTGTTTACAGATACATTTAATATGTTGCTTGTTCTCAATTAGTAGTATTAGCAACCACCAGACTATCATTTGTATGAAAAAAATAAGTATGTGTAGACCAATACCCGGTTCTTTTATACTGGACCACATTTCATTTTTTTTGAGGTTGCCTAAAATATTTGAAACGATCACAATGAAGAGATCGAGATAGAACGACAGGAGCTATTCGTTATTCCGCATATAAAAGCGGTGTACTTTTATAAGAAAATTTGCGACAAGTGTTGGCACTAGGATTTATTAACAAGGATGAAGGGGTCAAGGTATTCTAGAACTAAAATTTCTAGAACTAGTTACTATCGTCAGCGTGAAACTAATAGAAAGTAGTGCTTGGTTGTAGAATATAGAGTCGTAACCGAGCCGGCAGACCGGCTGGTCTCCACTGGTCTTTTGCAGATCTAGAAAAGTTTTCAAACTGGCCGATAATTGACCAGTTTTTTGTCCGTTTTGAAATTCTTAGCATTTTTCTCTTCTTCACTAAAAAAAATGAGTTTTTCTACCCTCTGATTCGTCTACAAAATATTTGAAAACCGGCAGGTCTTTTGCCGGTCTTTCACTAATCTAAACCGATTTTTGGACCAGTAGGCTCGGTCCGGCCTCTTATTTTTAGACCGGTTACAACTCAGGTAGAATATCTCGATCGGATGACAGGCATGCACATATTTTGGACGTTTTCTGCCCCCAATCATGATGGAAAAATCTTCGAATTTTTTCTGATTTCGAAGTATCGCCAAAAATATCTCTTATCTCAATAACTAGCCGGGTCTGAGCAACGATATTTAAAATTAATTACTAAATAATACTTGTGAATAATTTGAGAAAAAAATTTCCTTCGAATTCGTCTTCAATTTAAAAATAGTAGGATCAAACCCTTTTCGTCGTCATATGAATTCGAATGATTTTAAAGATAGAAGAAAAGATTGATACTGAACTGTTTAAATGTCATATATTCATTTCCGATATAATATATATCTTACTTGATAATATTGAATTGATTGTATCAATACAGACATTATTATCATGGATTCGTATGTTATACAACGATCGTTTGAAATTCACTGTTGGAAATAAAACGGCTAGTATCCATCGAAGAGCGGTCATAACAGAAGATGTTACACTCTGACCAATAGTGTACACCTCGACAAAATTCAATACCACATCAAAAAAACCTAGAAAAAAAAAAAAAGAAATGATTTTTCTCCATAAATGAATTAGATTCATCATACATGCAACAATGTTAATAATCACATAATTGATGAAGCCAATTATTTCATTGTTGATAAAGAAAGACCAAATATAAACAAATGGCAAAGATGCACATGAAAATAATATCGTTATAATAAAAAATAATATTGTTTGAGGCATTGGATTAAATGAAATAACTTCAGCATCAAAATTTGTAGTAGCTACTGCGCTAATCTAGAGCAGAATTCTGATTAACTATTTTAAATATGAGATACACTAGAAGATTACTTTCTACCTTGACGATAATGGTTAATAGACTACATAATATGAAACATAATACAAAATCGTATGTGGCATTTGATAACCAATAAATCCATTTTGATAAATTTGCCATTAATTGTAAATATTTTGATTTTGATACACGTTCTGTTGTTATCAATAATATAATCATACTTGTATAGAGAGTAGCAACAATTGAATTCATAAATCCAAAGAGTGACATTGGTATAATATCAAAACAAAAGAGTTTCGCCAATAAATCAGCGGAAGATGATGTTGATGTTGATTCTGTAGTAATAATTGGTTGATTTATGGTTATTATTTGTTTAGTTTGAGAAGAATTTGAATAATACTGAAATAATTGATTCATTGATACGCCTAAACTCACAGCTGCTGCATGATAATTTACTGTACTAAAATAAGCATTAAATGTAACATTTGTATATCGAGCTTGAGCAATTTGATATTTTTGTATAAATATCATTTCTGTTTCATGATATCCTTGTTGAATATAGGACATAATTGTATCCGTTGTTAATTGTTCAATAGTACCAACATTTTGAAGTTCACTAAAATTATTCCCATAGACAACAATCGTCTGCTTACTATTGTAAATAGATGGTATAAGTTGTACTTGAGCAAATTTAACATGATCATTTTGTAAGAGTGTCGATAATATTTGAACTGGTGTAGGAAATGCACAGACAATGATTATTTCAATTAAAATAGATAAAAGAAAAAATCCAATTAAAAATATATATTGACGACATGAGATTAACAATCGTTTAACGATTAATGCATAAAATTGTTGAATATATAAATGATATGTTGTTATACGATCATGAACATCAAATACTATAAGAATTATTTATATTTATCAAACAATCAAAGTGTTTAATCATCGATTCTATCTACTACCTGCATGAGCTAATTGTTTTTTCTTTTCTTCGAAATATCCATGATTTGTATGAGCTTCTTTCACAAGTCTAATTGATAAAAATAAACAAGTATTATACATTATAATTATAGATAATCTTACATACTGTATAAAAACATCCTCAATGGTAATCATTGATATACCAAAACCATCAATTTGAATATTTTCTCTATTTTCTTTTCTATCAAGTTGTTCAATGAGTTTAAATGTATTATTTTCTTTACCTCTTGGTATTCCATAGATTAATTCTGACATTGATTCTTGTTCTAAAATAACATTATTCACATACTGTTGAATATAACACGTTACTCTATTTTCATCACATATAGATGCTTTCTCAATAAATAATCGATATTTTAAACCTAGATGAAAAAATAACAACAAAAATCGATCGAAATAACAATTATTTTTGAATATATTATTTGTTTAGATATATATTTTTTACTTGTTTGTTGTTTTAAAAATTCAGAACTTCCATAGGCTTGTAGTCGACCATCCGTCATTATTGCTATTTTATCTGATAAAATATCCGCTTCTTCCAAATGATGGGTTGTTAGTATCACGCAACGTTCATCCTCTTTTAATTTTTTAATAATAGACCAAATTTTACGCCTGTTTGTTGGATCTTTAAAGATAATAAAGTTTATCATTTATTGTTGAATCTTATCCGACGACGCGGACACGGAATTCTGCTACTAGTCAAATTCTGAAATGAAACGGTGACATTTTGTTCTTCTTCAAGTATTTTAAACAACAGAACGGCTGATTGTGTACAATATGAACAATTAATTGTAAAGAAAATTTTTTCTGATCTAAATGAGATGTCTCCGAGCTTTGTATGCTACTTGGTATTAAGCAATACAAATGAACAATACAAAAAAAACTTTTCTAAAATAAAGTTTGAAAACGATCGTCCGTTATTCTTTGTATTTTTTTAAACAAAAAGCCGTACAGAGCACGTTGACAACTCATTTCACTCTGAAAAGTTTCTTTTACAAATGAGGATGAGACGCAATTCTGGCCATTCTTTCATTAAAAACCTATAGAAAGAACAAAATATCAAAACTTCATCATGGAATTTTACTGCCATCGCATAATTGAATGATCAGCAGACTATTTACCTATTCCACTGGTGGGCTCGTCAAATATTAATACCTATGTGCAAACATATTTTTTCACGATTATTCTGATAATACAGACGATTAGTTACCTCTGGATCTCCTATAAGTGCCATGCCTACTGAGAGACGACGTTTCATGCCACCTGATAAATCTTTTGCTAACTTTTTCTCATCGTTGCTTAAACTTATCTGAGTAAGAATTTTGTTAATAGAATTATTCATATCGTCCTTGGTCATCGAACGTAGCTATAAGAAAGGATTATACTATATAATTCCTTCAAAAATTGAACGTAATATTCACTTATAATTACTTTTGCAACTAATTCTAGATGTTCTTTTACCGACAATTCATCATACAGGATGTCTATAAACATAGAACAGATGTGATAATGATCACGCAATACGACTTCCTGTTTATCATTTACCATATTGTGGACAATAACCAATCATTTTTCTAACTGTTTGCAAATTTCGAGTATTATCATAACCCTCGACAGTGACTGTGCCAGAATTTGATTGCAGCATGCCTGAAAAAAGATTAATAATTAGAAAAATCCTGATCACTCCGACTATCACTTTTCTGTTACTTTCGTGAGAGAAAGAATATGAGTAAATTATATAGCGATTGTTTGTAGGAAAAGACTTAATAAAAGTGAGAATAAAGAAAATATCAGATGCATGTGTGATAATTCGATAATTCGGCCGAAATTCTCAAAATGCTCACTACAAGTGGCCGATGAGACTCATTGTGCCCGCCTTGCATGTGAATGAAAACGATTTGGTAAAGCTATAGGTTGATCAAGCTTTGATTAGTGCACAATAAATTTAAATTCAATAAAGTTTTGAAACAGAAATCTTCATTTTATTGTCGATGAACATTTCGTCGTATTTTTTGAATAACTCGTGAGTAATATAAGATTTTCAACTGATCTTTTTACAAGAAATATTAATTTACAATACTCAAAACGTGTAAAAGTTCAAGAAAAACTGACTTATTTAGTCACAACTATTTTCTAACCATAGTGAGCCTCAAAAACCTTTTCTTTTCCAGAAGGTCATCCTGCCGCTTATCCATCTTTTAGCACCAGTCAGACCCTTTCAACAGAGATGTGCACAGATGCAGTTTTCAGATACATGACGCGGAATTTTTTCTTTTTGCCCTTACTCGACAACATTATATTAGTATCCAAATCTTCGGGCAGGATGGGGTATGGGTCGAGTTGTATATCTCCACTTTTCAGTTTGAAATATTACTGAGAAAAGCTGAATTTATTGTCAATGGTCAAAAAATTGAGAAGTGTCTATTATTAGCAAATATTTTCAATATTTTGACGGAAAAACTTGATCTAATTTCAATCCTAAGAAAATATTTGCGGAGTCTAAAATCTACACTACTCAGATATATAAAACCACAAACAAAAGTCTTCAACTCTCATAGAGAAAGAGGAAGACTTAGTGATAGATAGCATAAAAAGTTAGAAGATTTTGACCTTATTTTCTGGCCAGTATCACGGCATCTAAAAAGATATTAGGTTGAGGAAAAAGTTCGTGCGCCGTGTTAAAATAATGATTTTTTATATATTTTTTTTTGTGTTTTTGATCTGGTTTTGTGGCTATTATGAAAATTTATT